AGCTTGAAACACCGTCCGCCAGTCGAGTGCTTGATACGGGATGTTGATTGGGAAGGGCTCCAAATGTGGTCTCCAAATTCCATTGCTTTGCCAACATGAGTCCCATTTTGTCCAGACCGGACCTTTAAGAGTAGCCTTAGGCCTGGATCAGACAGAACACATTTTTTGCAGGGAGAGGTGCCTTTTTTAAATTGTATTCTATTGGCAGTGAGCGTTCTGCGCACTGTTTATGCGCCTGGGGCACCTCATGTTTTGGGTGCCTGCTGCGCCTTGTGTTTTTCGAAGAATCAAGTTTCTGCTAATATAACATTAACAATACCGAACATTAAGCCTACAGATCGCTGGCGCTGTAATCTTTGATTAGGCTGACAGGACAGCTGATTCTGGTGGATTCGGAACATAAAAAAGACGCTCTTTTCTAAATTCAACCAAAAAAGGCACTGCTGTGAGCCTCATGTTTTCGAACCTGCAAAGCGCTTTCTGTCTGATCCGGGCCTAAAGTCCTTAAGTTGGGCCAACATGGCTCCTTTCCTCGGTCTCTTTCCTCTCCTCTGAACGAACATCACACCTGACATGGTGAGTGTATTTCTATAGCGAGCTTTAAAGGAGCCACCAGCTGCTCCTTCTACAAGTGCTGCTGGTAGCCATAGAAATGCCTCCTTAGGCAAACTGCTGAGGCCCTGTAGAACTACATCCATAGTAAACATCAACCATGCCTTGATTAGAGAACTGGGCCCACCTCCTGGAGCAAGACCTGTGAGGGGAGCATACTGATGAGTCTACTTGCCCTGCCTGAACTATTTAGGTCCTGAAGAAGAAACATGGGGCTGCTGTCCTCTGGGCCCACCAGCTGCAAGATTGCGTGAATGGGTCTGCTATCTTACCAGTTGTGTGGCATTCAAGGGTGAAGGCTTTGCTATGCTGACCCTAGTCTTGGGGCATGCAATGTCACCTCTCTGGTGAGAAAGGAGCTGTAGTTGGTGCCATACTAACTACATGTAAATGAGCTTGCCTCTACACACAGCAGAGGAACTCTTTTCCAAGAGTTGCCCAGTGAGACGTGGCATGCGTGTGACTCCATATTCTGCTGCAGTACCTTCAAAGACACTGAACATTTTGTGAATTTATTTCAACACAGTTTAACATCACACAAGTGTCAATGTTCAAAACACAGGAATAAATAACTTCCAACTTCACAAGAACACATACTTACAAACTTATCACCACTATGGATGATGTATAACGTTACTGACATATTAACTCGATCCTCTCCCGCTTGACACCTCCCCTGTCCCCACCTTACCCCGCCTTAGTCCTTGTGGGAGCTGCTGTAAATCAACCTGGCCTCCGTGGATTTTGGAGGTTATATTTGGTCCCGGTCTGGGTTGTGTTCACTTGGATTCTATTGCCCTCTCGCCTGCTACATTTCTAGTGCTCATCCCAGGCCCCGCACCCAGGCAGACTCGCCCGCGGAGTCCCTCGCCCTTGAAAACCTTCTCCTCCTGGTGGTCCAGAGCTCCTGTACAAGTGGTGTAAACAAACATCAACACTCCCCCAACTCCGAGCTCCCATCGGCTTCCAACAGATAAAAAAAAACCAAGTTAATCAAATTAAAACAGTTATTGTGCGCATGCTGTTTCGCACTGCAACTCCTTTTGTCTTATGGCTATAAAAAATGAAGCATTCACTCTTAAAAGTTCAATAAATGCACAATGTTTCCTAAGGCAATCAATAATAATCATGATTTCAGTTATTACCAAAATAATCATGATTATGATTTTTGCTATAATCGAGCAGCCCTAGGTGAACTGGGAATGTCTTGTGGAGGCCCCTGTCTGCAAGTCCTCCAACTTCTTTCTCTGGAAGGCAGAAATTTTGCCTGTATCATAGCGATTAACATCGAAAGTGGATATCATATTTAGGTTGTACAGACTTCTGGCCCCCAAGGATGCCCATGTTCTTTTGAATGAGCTTTTAGTCATCTTACATTTCTGGTAAATGAGTCACATCTCTGGCATGAGAATAATATTCACAAATATCAGTGGGTCTTTAAAGCCCAAATTGTTAGACCTTCCTTAATGACTGTATTTATCGTTTATTTACAGTCAGTCCTTACTGGAAATCTTTTGTTTTAAAAAGTATCTTCTGTAATTTAATGGAAAAAATACACATGGCAACCTTTTTGCCAATGATTGACAAAATTACCATTCAAAACATGGTACTTGTACTGTCAAATAAAGATATTATTATGTTGGCTGCAAGACACGATCCTTCACTGACCCGGTCGCATAATTTTCATTAGTGAGAGCATTTTTCCTCCGTACTCTTCACCTTGTGGAATCAGCTCCTTTCCAAGTGCAGCCTGGCAGATAATGGCTGTTTTGTTTAGTGGTAGAGCTGCCTAAAGTACATAACATGAATTATTCATCTCCCGCTCAAGATTGCACTGGAAAGCAATTGCAGGACAAACAGTTTGCTGAGTTGAAGATGCATGTAAGGGGGGGTCCTTGTTGATGTAACACTGCATATTTATTGAATGTGCCATGTTTTATTGATGCAAACGTCTTTGCCTCACTTGCTTGAGGAGGCAACAACCTGACGAAATCTTACCCATGCTTCATTTCAGCGCTATAAGGCAATCACACTGGCATGCAAAAAATTGTCAACGCTCTCATACTGTCTCATTTCCCTGTCTGCCTTTGTTGTTTTCTTCTGTACTGCACAAAACCTGCAAAGCAAATTTCTATTTAACTTTATGTGGTGTTTGAAGGAACACTTAAGTTGACTGTTGATGCAGGTAAACAAAATAGGTGTACTGTTGGGGACAAGATGTCAGTGAATACTCTACATTCCTCCCTTCTGAAGGCCCCTGACTCCTGCTTTACAGGTTGTCATTATTAGCCTGTTGAGAAGTTTTCTGCTGACTACAAGAAGAACTTCTACTTGACCCCTCTAACACATTTCCAATCCAGTGAAGTTGCTCTTTCATTGTGAAGCCATGCTTATTCAAGGATATAATCTGCAGAGCACAGACACGAGTGGGCCTTGCTGGGATGAAGGCTTTTAGATCAATTTGCCTCCCTTGAGAGCTGCTAACTTTTTGCACCAACAATAGTACAGGAACAGTGATTTTATCAGCTTTCAGCCAAGTACAAGAAGAGAAGCTTTATGTTTCAGGCTTGGAAAGTGTCATAATGTGTTACAATGCAATGCCAGTTACGCATATGGTGTGCAATTCTTTTATAGTGTCTGAAGATGTAGACCTGCTGCTGTCTCTTGTGCTGTTTTTTATTCCTTAGGGTTGTTTTGCAGGTTGTATTTCTCCTTGTTTAAACCAAATTCTGACCTAAGTTGTGCAACAATCCCCCAAAATATTGCCAAACATCCAATACTTTTATGGCACCAACTGATTTTGTTTCAATACTAACTACTATTGAAAAATGCTTTGGTATCATTTGGTATCAAATTTCAATACCAAAGGAGTAAATCTCATCAGTGTCAGTGAGCCAATAAGCATGCAGCATGCTTACAAGACACTGCATCTCCACAATACTAAAGGATTCATCTTCTTCTTTGTCTTCAGCTTAAGCAAACTAGACACTATATTGGCATATTGCTACCATACTGTTTCCATGAGTTTCTTCATTTTAGTCCAGTCACACAGGTTGAGTAGTGCACGTAGTAAAAATGGTTTCTTCAGCTGCTCCCAGGTCTTTGAACAGCTTCCTCCTTTGTAGTGCATAATTGCATCATAATGTGTAATTTCATTTTCTTTTGTTAAAATGGATTTTTATAAAATTGGTATAGAAAAAAGTATCGTTCAGGAACCAGTATCAGTAGTCAAGGTATCAAAGTTGTGATATATGCTATATGCAGGTACATTACGTGCACAGTTATTAGACAAATTGTATTCCACGGGATTTTATTGAACAAACACAGTGCTCTCAGTCAATCCAAAATATAATTAAACCTCAAACTTGAATGTTTATCTAAGATAAACTGAGTTTTGTCTTGCTCAGGAGAATATGTGTGCTCAGAATTATTAGGCAACTAAATTACCAAATAACTTGTTTATTCTCAGTTTTTAGACTAAGTGCAACAACACAAAATGACAATTTAATAACATTTTTGGCCTTTCAAAAATATTTAGTGACCAATATAGCCGCCCTTCTTTTCGATAACTGCCATGAGCCTCTTCCATCCATGGAGTGTGTCAGTTTCTCAATCTGTTCATTATCGACTTTCGTTGAAGCAGCAGCCACAGCCTCCCAAATGCTGTTCAAACAGGTGTAGTGTCTTCACTGACTGTAAATCTGACGTTTGAGAAAGGCCCACAAGTTCTCAATAGGATTCAGGTCAGGTGAGGAAAGGGGCCGAGTCATCTTTGCGGCCCTTGCTGGATAGCCAAGCAGTGGAGTACTTGGATGGATGTGATGGATCATTGTCCTGCGTAAAAATCATGGCCTTCTTGAAAACTGAGGCCTTTTTCCTTTTTCCTCACTGCTTGAAGAAAGTATCTTCCAGAAACTTTGGATTGGTTTGGGAGTTACGTTTCTATTCGTCTATTTTCAACCCGAAAAGGTCCAACTATATCATCCTTAATAATAGCAGCCCATACCAGTACCCCTCCTCCACCTCCGCCTGACTCGAAGTGGTGCCATGTCCATCAGTGATCCAACCATGGGCCGTCCATCAAGAGTCACTCTCACTTCAACTGTCTAGAAAACTGAGTTCATTGCAGGTATAGCTTCTAGCATGGCTAAAAAACGTTAAAATTAAGAAATGCAGTGATCGTTTGATGTGATATTTGCCAGCTCATTTCATATATTTGTACACAGAAATAGTTACAAGTTAACTATTAATCATGTCAATAAGCATGGCTTTAGTTTTTGTAGCTGTCGTTGCACAATCTATGAGAGCTTCTGTGTGAACAGTTTTCAAACCAAAAACTTAGGCAAGCATTTATGTTTACAACATGATGCCTCCTGTGATTTGATCAGATGCTGGACAAGCTGCGAGACCGATGGACTAACACTGGTCTCTGGGAGAAGCTAGAACAACAGAAAACTGTGATCACAGAGCCCCGCGGCGGTGGCAAGGGGGATTTTGACGAACTTCTTCACACGTACTACGATGCTGTCAAATACTGTGCGGAAAGAGGTGAGATAGTAAACAACATCACACTGGACCAAGTACTGGTTTTGCTATATCACTCGGAAGTAGCTTGATTGGTGACTTGATGCCTATAAACTCATTTGATCTAATCTAGTGCAAGTTGTCATTTGTACAGCTGCACCAGTGCTGACATCATCCAAATTTTCAATAAAGTAATTCAAGTAATTGTTAATAGTCCTACTGCACATTACTTGTCATTTACTGCATTGATGTATACTGTATGGTATTTTTTTTGTTCTACTGTAGATGGTGCACTGCTGATTGCTGTCTGTAGGGGTAAAGTGAGTGAAGGACTAGACTTTACCGATGACAATGCCAGGGCGGTGGTCACCATTGGCATTCCCTTCCCAAACATCAAAGACCTCCAGGTAGGTAGAATCACAACAGCCTGCAGATATTCTGTACATGCTACAGTAAGTAAGTGGTTTAGATCAGAGGCACCCTATCCCTGGGCCACAGAACATTTGCTACTGGGGCACCAGGAAAAAGTATGATTTAGCTAAAAATAAAAAAGCTATTATAAGTTATTTTCAAGTTTTCCATGCTGTTAGGAAACTGAGGTTAGAAAAGAAATCACAGTATATTCCTGTTTGCAGATTAAAGCCACTGTCTGTCAAAATCGTAACGTGATTCCTTTGGTGACGCTGAGCAGTGTCTGTAAGATGTCCACTTCTTCATTTTTTATTTATTTATTTTTGGGTCCAGATCCAACATGTTGGATACTATGAACAGAAATATATATCTCACAGACATACTCAACGCACGCACACACACAAACCCACACCAAATAAGAACATCTCTTTTTGGTGATCCGTAAAAAAAAATCCCAAAGCGATGTAGCTGTGTCTGCGCCGTCCTTAGCAGATAAAGTTGACCTTTAAGTTTGACTCTCTCCCTGCCTCCCACCTCTCCTCCCCTTTACTCCTCCACATACTCCTGTCAGAGCACGACGAAGCTTTCACTAACCTGTTCTGTCAGTGTGGCAAGACATGTGGGTGATTGAAGCTTCCCAGACCCTTTCACCTTAGCCAAAGCTGTCAGTTTTACCTCTGTCAGCTCTCAGGGCATTGCGTCCCTTTCTCTGATTTATTTTTTTTATTTTCTACTTTGTGCTGTTTAGGTACAAGTAGATGGTCTTAAGCATTCTGCATAGAAAGTCCTATTTCTGAAGTTCTGAAAGGCAAGAATCAAACAAAAGATCTGCACACTGTAATAATAGCTCCCATTATTTTTAATTCAACAACGTTTCAATCTAATGGAGATCTTCGTCAGGTATTGTCCACAAAGCGCAACAAAGAATATGTAAACACAAACACTCAGGTGATTGTGATCTGCATGATTTAGAGTCAATCTACTCTAGCTGGACCAATTAGTAAAAGAAGCCAGTTTTTGTTTGTTTGTTTGATAACAGTTACAGGGATTTACATTACAACAGAACACTGAAACTCCTCACTAATACCTATTAACTTGTAAAAATGTTTTAGCTCCAGTTATTATGGATTACAGATATTATGGATGTGAGTGACAATAGGAGGTTAAGCAAACATATCTTTTGAAAATATCAGACCTTAAAATGAAATAAATGACTCTAATGATTAAATAAGGCATTGATTCAAGGGATGCAGCAGTTGACAATGATGGGTTGGATTGTATTATATGGTGGTGTAATACGTATATAAAAGAACAAATGCATATCATCATAAAGAAAAATAGCCCATCTAAACGTCAGTACATAGTCTCTTGAAACTGATGTTTTAAGCTTGTGCCTGATCTAGAATAAATCAGGAGACAAGTGGATGGAGCAGAACACCAGGGGGAGGACTGAAGAAGCCAAAACTAGTTAGGGCCAAGGAGGAGCTAACCAAGTGTGAAGAGACCGTGCATTTCAAATGACACATTCTGTGCTCAACATGTACCGCTTTTGTTTATTTGCTACATGTCCTCAGAGAGCCACGTCTTATCATGATTGCAGCTGTTGTAGGATCAGGAAGGCAAAGGTCATGGTGGTGACTGCTGACACTTTAACTTGACCAAAACCTTTAATTTAACTATTGTTGAACTCCATCCTTGACTATCAGTAAAATATTACATAATTTAAATAAAGGAGTGAAGAAAATGCTATTTTCTGGATTTCCAGATCAAACAGTTGGGACTGAATGAGAGGTATGTTGTGCTTTACCTGTCATACCGCTTCCATCTGAATTTGAAAGAAAGGTAGAGCACACAACAGGACAAGTTAGAGTGCAAACATGACAGAGAGAACATAAACTTAAACCAGTGCTTACTTTACTTTCGTATTTACAGTTTTTTGTCATTTCAGTCTTTGTAAAATTCTTTGCTTTAACAGTGATGTGTGTGAAACTGTGTGTGTGTGTGTTGCGGACACAAGTCTTGGTAAGTAGGGAAGACCTGTAATCAGTTTTATATAAATCAGTCGAACATGGACAGCGGGATATTAGTGACAAAAGGCGTGATTTTTACTTCTGCGGTATTGCTGAAATTTCTTTCTGGATCCATGTGGGTCTGTGCATCTTTAAAAGCAGATATTGACTACTGTCAAGCTACAGCTATTAAATTTATGTCCTGAAGACAAGGGTTGGGCGATGCCTACAAAATTTCCATCAGATGATGTCTACATTGAAACGTCGGGATGTACAATGACATCGAGGGCGCTGGAAAACCGGCTTTTACATGGCGGTATTATGTGAAAAATTTTGATTTAATTTTATATTTTTCTCCTTAACTTTGCTTCCCCCCCCTCCCCCATTTCTTCTTTTCATCATGAGCTTTGCTTGTTCTACCTTTTTTTCATTTCTGTAGTCATCTTTTCCTCTTCATATTATATCCTCTTTCAGTGGCAAAGGCAGTGTGACCCCAAGAGAAGCCCTGGGGCTGTAAAGGTCTTTGAGCTAATCCATTACACCGCTGGGAGTATAGGGACAATAACACTAATGAAAGCCATGCAGCTAGCCCTCATAGCGTGCTAAACCAGCACAGATACTGCTGCAGCACTGTCAGAGAGATAATGGGCTCAGATGGACAGAAAGACAGAAATGCATTGGCAATGCACATGCAATGGTGTAACCACTTCATTACTTATTTTTTTGTTTATTATTGACTGTGACACCGCACAATTAAAATAATTTCACAAGAGTTAGCTAGCAGCGAATTTACATCCATCGTCCCTGGTCAGGTCCCTGTAGGTAGGTCTGTGAGTGTGGGGGAAAAGAGAATTGAAACGGAAAGGAGTCAGATTCAATAAGTGAGTGCACACTTGAATAATGTGGAGAATGAAGTAGGCTATAATTAAAACGGTGAAATTAGAAACAAGCTAGTACAAATAGTAAAAACATGCCCGCAAACAATAGGGCTTTATAATGCTGCTGCGATTCTTTATGATTAGTTATGATGCTTTAAACACTACTTTCAGGCTTACAATGGTAAATGTGTGGTATGTTGTGGCACATTTTTGAGTGCCAACTATAACTGATAAAGTATTTGGCACTAATGCCACCAATTCTTCAGTTTGGAACCCCGCACCATAAGACCTAAGGGAGTGCTGCTTTCACAGGAGTACATTACCAGGTTTTCCGCACATCAAGGAAGTTGCTTAGAGGTCAGTGTGCTGGCCAGCGGTGCTGCTTGTGCACCCTCTACTTGTGCAATAAGTTTTTCCTCACACATTCCCATCCTGATAGTGACTGATGAAGCCATTTGCTGCTTTTGCTTTTTCAGCTACATTATGCAACGGGAAACTCTGTTGTTTTCAAAACACCAAAAGGCTATATTGCATCTAATTTTAACAGTGCTAATGTGTGAGTGTTTCCTTTTCTTTAAACACATTTTTACCTGCATGAATGCTTCCTATTAACACCTTATCATATTTACACCATATGTCTCACACTGAAACTGCTTCCCTTAGTGCACTCAAGCACACATACACATGCGTGACATGTTCTTACATTGTCACTTCCATGCACTAGTGCTAACATGTACACATTCTCTTAATAGCACACATGGACCCAGACATATTAATTCATTCATTCTGTCCCACACTCACATGGCAGCACCCCATTGCTAGGATAAGAGGTGTAAGCCAAGCTTCTCTCCATTTAAACTGCTGCAGCACTTTAGATGCCTGCATGGCCAGCATTCCCAGACAGGCATAACTCGTAGACTCTACAGTGTAAGCACATAGCACGGCATTTTACTGGCCTGTTGTGTTGTTATTGTGACAAAGATCAAAGGTTGAACTTGAAAAGTCCTCTGCAGAGAAAGCCCTGCCAAAAGTAGTATTACATTTATGTTGAGTTTTTCCAATGGAGTGTTTTACAGTGAACAGTCACATCCTGCGTGAGTGAGTCAAACAATAAGTGGCTTTAACAAGCAATAAAAAGACACTTACAACTGATAAGGCATCTCTCTCCGTTTAATGACGGGCTCAGCCAAGCTCTTGCTGCTGCCCTTTTATTAAAGACAATCACGAGAGCTAAGGCCTATGGGCATGTGAAATGGATGGAGAAAGGGGATTTTGGAGGAATGTTGAAGAGTTCATGGAAATCATCAAGAAGAGGGGATGATGGATGCTCCAGGCACACTCAAGACACTGTTCATTTGGCTTCATCAACTACTGAAGGAAAGCTATGTATCACCACTTTAGAAAGACGTCTTAGTCGACATCATTTTTTGTTGATGCATGCTCAACCCTTTCTTTACCCTTTACCAAAATGTAAATATTGTCACACAGTTCATTACTATGGCTGGGGACTGTTTACAGTTGTTTTGATACTATTATACTGTTGCGGGTACAACATAACTTTTCAACACCGATTCCAAAACAATACTTAGACCAAGAACAAGACCTTATTCAGAGATATAAACCTCACTTTTTTTCGTTTACAAAATGAGCCTCGGTGGTAAACGCTGTCTGAACACAACCAGCCTTACATGAACTTGAAGATTTGTTGAGGTTTGATAACAAGGTAGTCAAGAGCACTGGGGGGCGAGTCAGAACAAAGACTGAGTCTAAATGGGCTTCAGTCCATCTAAAGACAAAGACCAAATAAAAAAACAGTACTCATTCAGCTTTCTTCACATTGTTGTCTGACTGTTTTATCATGTTGACATTATAGTTCGATCAGATCGAATACCGTGTGGTGAGCAAACTTGACTTGGTTGAGAAAAACTATAGGTGAGACCGCACCACAGTAATTAGGATTCTGCGTGTAGCCTTGGTGTGAGCTGATCCATGAGCATGTCGGAAGGGAGTGTGGTAGTCCGATGCCCTTGTGAGAGTGTGTACACACACACACACACACACACACACACACACTTGGACACTGTGTTGAAGACGAGCCACTCAGCTGTCAGCTCAGCCTTATGTGACAGATGAGGCGCTTAGCAATCTCAGTGACAGGCACAAGATGTCTCGGACTGCCAGGGGCGTGCACACTGACGCTGACGTGCATACACACACACCCTGTGTAAAATGTAGCTCAAACAGATGCGTTCAGCTGCGAATCATGCCTAGTGGTCAAATATATGTTTATGGGGATGAACAGGTAGCTGTAGAGGACGAGGCCAAAGCAAGCGAGTGATCTCCTGACATTTTAACTAATCCCTTCTAGCTTGTGGTTTCTTGCACATTTACAAGATTTGCTAGCAGCCAGAATTGGCTTTTTCACATATGCAACCTGTCATGTTCGATTGGACGATGACATGGTACAGACCAGGGATGTGATGGCTCGAACGCTGAAATGGACTGTGATTGGATTTAGATGACACCGCCAGCTCGGGGCTACTTGGCCTTTCTGTTGTAGCTGTGTGTTTAGGAGTAGATTCTTTAACTGCTCTGGTGTCTCATACATTGGCAAACATCTCACCATGAAGCCAGCAGCGTTAACAAGACTTCCTGTGACATGGCTTTATGAGTTGACTCCCATTGGCAGCCTGCACTGCTATTGTATTTTCACAGATGAAACCTGTGATTTTAAATCTCCAGACAAGCATAGGCCTTCATTATACATCGTGGTTGTCAGTTGTTTGCATGCTGCTTAGGTGAGGTGTTATTAGTCATAGTCCAACTTTGGGGCGACATTTAGGATTTCCTGTGACTCCGCTTATTTGTTTATGTACACAAGCCCAGACAGGCCACAGTGGCATTGCGTGATGCACATGAGGGAGCAGGCTGTACCTGCCACAGCCCCGTGTTTGGTTGCTCAGGGCGAACACACGGTACCTGTCAAAAGCAGTTAAAGCCTCGTTCAGCAGCCTGCCCTGCATGGCATCCCGTCAGACGCCAGCTGAACTTTTCACTTGTCAATTCTGAAAGGTTAGCGCTAAAATCAGCAGCAACAGATTCAAAGGGATGGATGCTTTCCTGGCATTTTTGTGCAGGGATGCTTCATGTCACCTAGACCACCTTGTCGGCCCCCTCCTACCTCCACTCTACTCTGTCATGGCCTCTCTTTAGCCCCTCTGTTCCCCTTTCAGAACACATCTGTCTACAAGGGCAGGTAATGCCCGACCCCTCCAGGTCCTGAGTACTAGTTGCTTGGGGTTTAGTTTGCCCTAGATCCATCATCCACCACATGGTTTTCCACTTCATATCCATGATGGATTCAATTAATTATCCATCATTAGACACGCATGAAACCCTCTTGTGCCAAGTGCCACAGTTACGGCTAACTTTTTTTTTTCAGTAGTTGTTTGGTAGCCAGTAACTTATTTTTTAAACTATGTTTTGCGTATTGTATGCTATGTTATAGCGTACAGTAGAGAGATGGACTGGAGAGAAGCAGGGCAAGGGAGGTGACTTACAACAAAGGTCGGGGCAGAACCAAACCAAGACATGTCCACCGGGATGTCCTGGGATTCATTTTAATACCTCAGATGTCTGACAATGTATTGGTATCTGTAACGATGACTTCATAGTTGTTTGTTTTCTTGGGATCACTTTCTAAACAACAAATTGGAGTAATTGCTGAAAGAGACTTTTAACTGCTGTTTCCATTTACCTTTTTAGTCCAGAACCAGAGGAGCAAGGAGAAAACAGATTTTAACATTTCTGTTAGTCTTAGAAATGTTTTGTAAATAAAGCTTTATCACAAAAATGAAGAGCTCTCAAACAACACTAAGAGTTGGCAAAATGTTATCGCAGCTTTTGTGACACATTTTTACCCTTCTAATCTTTACCAAAGTCTTTGATATTAACTTTTTTTTACTTTAAATGTCTAACTTTCAGAACACACACACACAGTTAAGAGCAGACCAGTGTAAATTTAAGCAAGTTTATCAAAATTAAAACATGTGATATAACTATTCATCAAAATATTATGTAAGCATTATTCTCTAAATTTTTACTTTTAAAAGTGAATCTTTGCTGTAATGTGTACCTATTATAAGTCACATGACCAGAAAAACCAGAACTGTGTACTGGAAACAGTTGTGCCAGTTGTTTTAAGTTTGATGGGCATGCAGCCAATAGACTGTCCCGTCTTTTAATATACTGCCCTGTGGTTTCAGGTGGAACTGAAGATGAAGTACAATGATCAGCACTGCAAGTCCAGAGGTCTTCTCCGAGGCCATCAGTGGTACGAGATTCAGGCCTACAGAGCTCTAAACCAGGCCCTGGGGAGGTAAATCTGCCCACTACAGCTAGAGTGTTTTGGAAGATTTACTTTTGTTCTCTCTGTCTTTTATACTTAAACCTTCAAACTTTATTTTACAGGTGCATCCGCCACAGGAATGACTGGGGTGCCCTTATTCTAGTAGATGACCGTTACAGGAATAATCCCAATAAGTACATCACAGGTGCTCAATATTTATTTGTAAAACTGCAAAGCCTATAAACTTGAACACTAGATGGCAATAGCTATCCACCATAAGATTGTTGGTAGTGTTTGTTTCTGATGTGTGTGTCTGTGGAAACACAGGTCTTTCTAAATGGGTCCGCCAGCTCGTCCAGCATCATGACACCTTTACCAATGCAATGAAGTCTCTGGTAGCATTCTGTCAGGTGCAACAGAAGGTGGAGGCGGCCCCTCTTTCATCTGTCATCACTCACTTACCAGAAACTGTAGAGAGAGAGGATCTGCCAAAGGCGTCCGAACCATGGACACCCGGCTCATGTGTCAAACCGCCTGAAGCCCAGCAGGACACAAGCCCCTCGACCTTCTCTGCTTTTTCACATAAGCAGTTGAAAGCTGAACAGGAAAAAGGTCAGCTAAGTTGAAGTTTTGAGAGAATCCTCATTCTCAAAAAATGGTTGTGGGGGTCCATGTGTCTTTTTTGTGCTATAGTTGGGGGCAACATTAACACAAAGAGTTAAAGTATCAGAAATGCCCGGGGACCAACAGTGACACTAGAACTACTAAGACTTAATATGTCAATTCTAGTGTGGGCTTTCATTCTGTCAACTCATAATAGTGATGTTATAAGGATGTCCCTGTTAGTCTAAAGTGAATAAAGCTGCTGTTTTTAATAGACAGCAATAAAAAGTTTTGTGCCATTTTTGTGCTCAAGGATGTCTGAGCATGACATCACCCTGAGATAATATACTGAGGTGACATGTTTTCACATTACGAGCACCCATTGTCTCCCTACATGGTTTATCTGTTTGCCCAGTTGAATTCAGTGTGGTGGATAGGGGTGGTAGCATGGCAGTAGCACCTCCCCCCACACCACCCCCAGGCCCCCGCCCCTTATAGTTGGGGGTAGAAGTGTGGGGGGGCAAGGGATCAGTTGAGTGGCTTGCCTCATTACTGTAAGGTCTTTTGCGTGCCTGAGTGGCGCTGGAGCGAGCTGATGAGCAGATGTTGGACTGTTGCTTTTAATTAAATCCCAATGACCTTTGTTTGGGCTATATTGAGCGTAAGCCCACATTTATCTTTCTTTTAGAATAGCCTTGGCAGCCATGGTAGTCTGCGTAGAAGTCTCATTTTTTAAATGCTTTTTTTGTGATGTGTTTGCTCAGTTGACTCTGTCAGACTGCAGTCAAATGCTAGGATAAGGTTAATAAATATCCTCTGTAAAGTAGTTTTGAATATTTTGTTTTCTTGATGCAGAATACTTGAAGACAATCCACAGTCCTCCAACAAAGCCCCTTGTGCAAACCCCCCCCTCCAAGAAGCCTATGTACCATATTTTCACCTCCAGAAAAACAACTAATGGAAAACAACTAACGGAAACAGCTAATCATTCTGAGCACCAGAAGAAACAGCACATCTCCTCCACGCAACAGAAGACTGATGTGTCTTGTCTTAAACAAGGGGCTGGAGACCGTTCCACTGAAATCAAAGTGGAACCACATAGTCTGGCTCCAAAGCTTTCTCCAGTAACACCTCCCAGCTGTGAAAGGGAACCACCCTCAGCAGACAGTCAAGAGGAAGATGAAGATGAAGAAGACCAGACTGTCTTTTTTACTCCTGAACTTTTTGAGGGCGAAGGCGACGAAGGCAGCCCACAGAAAGAGACTAAGACCAAATATTAACAGTAACTGTTGAAACAGATTGCAGTGCAATGTAAAATACCATATTCAGTTCATACCAAGTTTTCATATATCATCATTGGCTTTTGACAGTTTATCCTGCAGCGTCTCCTAAACACTATGTTGTAAAGTATCTATGTTACAAGTAGCCGACACACTCTTACCAAGCATGCAGTAGATGATGAGGCTTCAGCCATCTCAGATCAGCTTCTTATGCAGTGTGACAGCACATCTTATTAAGGCCATTACAGCCTGTTCTCAGTTAAAAAATGCATAACTAACCAACAGTATTGAAATGACAGCGCTGATTGAATGAGCATTTTAACAAATCATTAAAATACAAATCCTCAAACTCGTATGATAACATTTAGTTCTGTTTTAATGATGTGTCTAGGAGTTATGGGTGTTTTAGACATGCCTGATTTAACCTAAAGAAGAGGCTGTTATTTTTTCAATTTCAATTATGTGCTGTAAACTTATTAGTGTGCGGATATGCATTTATTTTACGTTCAGTACAAGCATCCATATATATATTCTGTTAAATCACAATAAAATAATAATCTAGCATTTCTCATATTTTCCTTCAACCGCATTGACATGTTTCTAAATGGCCCAGTTTCAGTGGTGGAAGTATGAGCAACAAAATCTACCTAATGTATCAAAAGTACTCATGGTGCAGAATGACTCCTGTAAGTGTTGTATTTTTCTATTTTAGGATTTTCAGTACTGATGCATTGACTTGAAAGAGGTACTCATATAACTGGCGGTGGTTGAGATCATTTTAACAACTTTGAATACAGTTGAGTACTAACAAAACCTGCAAAACCTTAATCTGAGTAGTAACTAGTAGCTCAAATAAATTTAGTGCTGTAAATAATACAGTATTCCCCTCTCAAATGTCAGTATTGCAGTATATGAACAGCCTTTTGTGAACAAATCTGTGAGGGCAAGAACTCTTGACAATATTAGCGTTTGGAAACAATTTTCCACTCTGCGGGCAGTGTCTGAGATGAAAGTACAAATTGCATAATATGGTAGTACCCGAGTAAAGAAAGTATGTCAAAACTGTGCAGTATTTGAGCAAATACACTTAGTTACTTTAACCACTGCCAAATGTTTGTTCTCATATCTGCAGGCCTCTGCTTAGAAGCTCGAATAAAGACAGATACTATTTTATCGTCTAAAGATGTTTGTAATGTTTTGGCCATTGTTTATATCGGTGAGGGTAGACTGAAATATTAAAAACATATCTCAGTATAACAAAAGTTCACCCACAGCACAAATTATAGCCTCCAAAATTACAATGAAGTTGAACCAACACCTCCCTAAGACAATTTCAACCAAACATTGTAATTATTCATCAGTTATGGTTTATTGCAGGGCTGTTAGACTGCATTAGTTTTAGCTAGGTAGACCTAATAAACTGGCAACTGAGTGTATATCTTCACATAAAAAGCTATACTACAGTAAATGTTAAAGTGACCAGTGAAATATCTCACATATATAATTAATCTGAATATATAAAATGAAGCCAGTCAAGTACAGTGTTTCCATATTTGTAGTCATTAGGTGTTGTTTCAGTCCTGAATAATTTACTGCCATTTAGATCTTAACCCTTTCTTTTGTACTTTATTTGTGAAAAAACAGTGATTATTTGTGACCTACGAATAGCATGTATGTGTAATCAGCTGTTTGACTCTCAGGAGCTGAGGTCATTTAATCAAGCCAATCCTAAGTGCAGACTCATCAAACAGGCGAAGTTGAAGGGAGACAGAAAAATGAGATTAAACATGATTACACTGATGTGATTTGTCTCATTACGACGCAAACTTCACCAATGTGTGATTTGCGCAGATGAGCAGAGTAGACAAGTGTTCCATTAAAGCCTTTCTTTGCTCTCATCAGCAGCCTCCCCAAGACCCTTGTATATGTAATCGTGCATGACCACTCGTTAACATCATCAAAACACAGCGTGGAGAGGCCAGTGAATGCGTGTTAAAAGCACTTAATAGGGAGCCCACATTACTGAAAGACTCAGTAATGACTGCATTTTTCCCATTAGGCTAATTCAGCTTTTGTCTCAACCCCAAATCATTAAAAGTACACTAACAGCATTTTATTATTAAAAAAAATACACGAGACTTATCACCAAACATGACAGAGTGGAAATGCAACAGAAAAGCACTGGAAATAGGAAACAACACTATTCCAGCCGTTCCAGCCTTCATTTGTGTGTCAGGTAGCGTAAAATAACTTGTCCACGGATATTCTGCTTACTTTCTAGTTCACTAAGACATGCTGTTGTTGTGATGTCAGCTATAGCAGCAGTAGAGTTGGGAGTACTGCTGTCTGGAGCTGGTGTGCTGGCCCTGGGACCGTCTCATCCTCTCTGCATGTTAGTTTCACAGCAGCAGCTGTAGCCACAGTTTGCCAAAGTTTGCTTAGCTAACATTAGTTACATTCCTTAAGTGTTTTTGTTCGCTCTATATCATATCGTATTTGTCATGGAATTGGATCTCTCCAGAATTGCTTAACCCACCTTTAATTTCTGGCATTGGGAATGGCCAACACTCTCTCTACATACAATTTAAAGTAAAATTCAAATTTTCGCAACTTTTTCAAACAGGTACTTTGAAAAAGTTGGTCTCATATTGGTAAACTAGAACTATTGATTCCAACCAAGGGTATTTCTCCACCAGCGGGTACTGATGCAGCTGCCAGGAGGAACATGGAAAGATTGTGTGGGGCGTCAGCTAATGTGAAAAAAATAGAAATGATTTGGCAAATAAATAAATACACGTGTGTCTAGGAGGTAAATGTGCGCAAAGATGGGTTTACAAATATGTGTAAGGCTGTTCTTTAGTATATTTGTTACTAAACTAAAAAAAAACTGACTGCACAGGACATTCTCCCAGGCCGATATGAGATTTGCACAGTATGATGACCTTAAGCAAAAATATCACAGTTTCGTGGTATTGTGATTGCAGCTCTAAAATATGTTGTTTTTAAATATCTGGGTGAAAACCATCAGCTTTTTCCCACTATACTATATATTTTATCCATTTTATGCAACAACATATACTACGGCTGCTAAGAATAATATCAAATAAAGCTATAAAATCTTGTTTGATTGTTATTATTTCAATATTGATGCACATATGCAATATTGAAATAATAACATTCTGCATGTCTCAAGCTATGCTGCAGCTGCTGTATTTATGTAAACTAAAACTTAACTATAACTTTTTGACCAAGCTATAAAAGTTCAGAGATCTTGCTAGCAGAAACGCAGAAGATTTAACAAGCAAGGTAAGTGTTTTTTGTTTTATTTTTGCCTTTTCAAATCACAGTGAATGAACACACTATTTATGATCAGTGTTAATTGCTACTATGCTTGTCTTTATCCTTGTATTGCAGTATTTGTAATTGTATGTATTCACATATACCTTTCAAGCATAATGGCACAGAATGCATTATAGGATCAATATAAGTTATACAGTAAATGTTGACACAGATCAGTGCTACCGTACATCTGCAGTGATGTTTTTTGCATTTAGTCTGTATTCTGCTGCACACAGATGCATATAGTGATAATGATCACCGCATTCCACATCCTGTGTGAAAACAGTGAAAAAAGAGGGTGTGTATATCAGTGGTTCTCAAACTTTTTCACATCAAGGACTCCTAAACTGAAACATATTAGACCACGGACCCCCATTTGATAAGATTTTGTCTTAAGGTCCCTCATCTGCACTTTTTCTTTTAGATGTTTTATTACAGAAAGGGTGTGAAACCTATGACCAAAATAGTCACACATTCTGTCCCCCCTGAAACCCTCTCAAGGACCCCTGGGGGTCCTCAGACCCCACTTTGAGAACCACTGCAGTATATGAACAGCCTTTTGTGAACAAATCTGTGAGGAGAAGAACTCTTGACAATATTAGCGTTTGGAAACAATTTTCCACCCTGCAGGCAGTGTCTGAGATGAATCTGCCTGAATCCTGAGTGAAATGTATTGAAAATCTTATCAGTGACTCCTCAAATATGTTTCGTCACAGCCATTTTTAAAAAGTTTGGATATAAAAAGAAAGTTCTGATACATGGCCAAGTTTTTTGTTCTACTTACAGAGAGTCAAAGACCAGAAGTCGTGTTCTTTGGGACTCTGTTCTCTGTGTGAAAAGGAACTATTTCCTGTCACACATTTTTGGTTTCTAGGAAATCCCTGTCATGTTTCAGTTAATTTAACATGTTTTTCAGGCACATTACTGATTACCACAGTGTATCTTGTAAACTTGTATTAAAAGTTAATTGTGGTTAAAACAGTTGCGCTGCAGGTCGCTGACACTGCTCACCAGAGAGGTGAAATGTTTGGGTGTGAATGTTTCCTTTTTCCTTCCTTATTTATTTTGTTCACTCAACCACAGTACCAGGAATACAATTGTTAGCATCCGGTAGTATTTCCTGGCTTATAGAAAACTTGTTGTGTAACAGGAAGCCACTGTAATTTTGTTCCTTCCTTGTAAAACCATCATCAGTATGTCCCTAGGCAAGACATTTAAGTGTTGAAATGCTTCAGTGAGCCTGTCACTGTATCCGACCAAGAATAACATCATGTCAGTTATTTATCCGGCACTTTAAAAATGCAAGTATTTACAAACCAGTGAATTAAAGCAGCAATTTAGAACAATGACTTAAGATCCTTATCAGATGAAAGTGGTTGCTTTTGGCTGGCTATTTCTGACAGCATCACATAAAGTGGTGTAAAAGACCATGCATGCACAGCATATCAAAGCATTTCACCACAAATTTAGTTCAGTTCAGCTCTCTTCAGCCCTAACGTGTGTTCTGTCCGGTTTTGTCCATAGACTGTATATAAAAAGGTTCTGTCCTGTCTGGCTTTCTGTACCTCCCAAATCTCAGGAAGTTGGCTAAAATATATATTAAATTGTAAATTGAATAGTTAAAAATTCCCATCCCTTGTGGAAACATGTTTTCATTATCAAACCCATGTTCTGCCCTGGCTGGGAGATGAGTTGCAAAGATAGACCCATTCACCTGCAAGCACCTGACTAACCCATGTCACTGTGTCAGGCTGGAACTGCTTTCTGAATACTGCTGATGTTTTGGGATTGTATCTAGACACTTTCAGAAAAAGACATGAACTATTAGGCAGTTCTAAAATGTGTGTGCGTGTTTGCATTAACACACAGCTATCTTTCCCAGTAACCACCCAGCTTGTGCTGAAACACAAGCTGTCTTGCCGGGAATATTTCTAGCTTCTGGCATGTAAAGCACAAAGTTGCTATAGGGTTTCTTTAAGTACCCCAGGCAGTATATGACTGTTGTACATTATATGCGACCTTCTGTTGGGAAGACCCTGAGGGCAGAACATAATGCTAGAGCCCTTTATGGAAGGCTCTATTTTTGCAATCCTTGATATCTGGACTCTAGAGAGAAATGAATAGTTAGAGGAAATAATCTATATAGATCGAGGGAGAATGGCCAAATCAACTAATGTCCTCAAAAAAAGAAAAATGAGCCATCACCGGCTGAAGATGTTCACTGG